TCTCCCTCAATTTCCTACATGGCTAAAAGCCAACTTTAGCAAAGGCTAACAAAAGCAAGTCATCAAATAGAAAATGCTTGTGCAAACTTTTCTTAATAGGAAATGTGGTTTAAAAATTACACAGGTATTAAAAACATATTCAGCACTGCATGAAAAAAAGGATCCAAGGATCCTGAAAGAAATAGGTACTGTATACTGCTTTATATAACCCTATTTCCCTTTCTGAATTTCCCTAGTTCTGTTGCATAATCTTCAGTTTTTCTGTAGGATGCAGTGCTTTGGTATGCTGCAGATTTCATGTTCCATCTTTCTTCAGACCTTCCTTTTATATTTGGGACTATATCTAAGGCATAAGATAGGGTTAGCATGGCTCTGCTGCTAGTACTTCATATTCAGACTTTCATTTTTATTTGCTGTTTTTATCTTACTGCAAGCCTTACACAAGCAAGGCTGTGTAAACTGTGAATACATAAAAGCATAATCTACCACTCTGCAACACAAATTGCCCCCAAATACAGCTTTAGAACCTTCAGGTGTATTTTGACAAATGCAGAGAAGAAAGAATCAATGATCAGTGTTAAAATCTTTATTAGATAATGATGTACTTATCTATCTTATAAATTATGAGTATATGGTTTTCTCACCCCCAACAAATGACTGTTACGTGGATATCACATAGACAGTTGTTCATAATTGGCTATACCAGTGTCAGCCGCACAGCACATCTCAATTTAGGACAACATTAGCCCCTCTGAAAGGCTCACACAGACCCGTAACGCCCATAGACCCAATATGCCCTAAGCATTCTCTACAGCTTTATGAAATAAAAGAATGAATGTTCTGATTGCTAGAGGCAATACCAGCATAGAGATTCATACACTGATCTTTCCCCTTGTGTGCCCCATAGCACTTCCTATTTAGCACACAGTAACTTCACTGAAATGCATCTGTCTCAAAGGTGGAACATGGAAGCAAAATGTTATTTTTAACAGACAGGTATGAAGGAATTAATTGTTCAGCTGAAGTTATGCAAAACCTCAAATTTGGATGGAATACTGTCACACAAAAATTACTAGATGACTAAAGCACTACAATTCATACAATGGTTTCACAAAAGGTGAAACATGAACATAATTTAACAAGCAGACATCATTAGGATTCATCTTCCTCTTCCCTGTTAACAATCAGTAATATTCTGAAGACATCCTCAGAGTCACACCCTGAAGCTTTTATTTCTATTATATAGAAGAATAATGGAATTTGCGTTTCTGTACTAACTGTCTGGCTAACTCACATGAACACAGGTATATGCACGGCTCTATAACTGTAGGAACTAAATTGTTCAATATGACAGCAAATACAGAAACAAAAGCCTGAAGGACTCTCATGTATGCATTAGAATGCCACGGCATGTATGGCTAATAAAGCAATGCATTAAGTAATAACGAAGTGAGGTATTAAATATCCAGTGGCATAGCTAACATAGTGGGGTAGGAACTTGAGGAAAAATTTTATTTAATTATCTGAAATGTTAGAAAACACAGCCATGGAAGCGAAATGAAACAGATATCCTCAGTGCATCTGTAGCAACTAAAAGTCCTTGGTTGGAGGTACACAATGACATAATACTTCCGTTTCACGGGGCCAGAGAAAGACAGAGTTTTTCAGCAAGGCGCTGGGACACTTTCCAGTTCTAAACACTTTCTGATTTTTCTTCATGAAGGGAAAGCCCTTAGTGTCATATCTGCAAAAAATGGTGATGAATTTCCACGAATTTTAGTTGCAACACAAATTCCTAAGTTGTCACATAAATGTGAAATGTTGCTTATGACAACTGTCTCTCCTGCTGACAACAGCAAGACTTTTGTCTTTTCTTTTTTCAGGCTTTGAAAAGCCATGATATAATCAGACTCTTGACTGGTAACCTGTCCACATTTGGGTTAAGGTCTTGTCACCCTATATAGTATGTATCGAATAATCTCAGCTCACACAGGTATTACTTAAGGCAATCCACAGTGTGGTGTTGGTTTACATCTGTCTCACAATGTGAACAGTATCTTAAGGGGAAGTGGTTTAGTGGTAACTGGCTAAGTCACTCCGTAATATATACGAGAAGTGAATAATCTCTATTTACCTGATGTGCTCTTGACTTCACCAAAAAGAAGTCCAGAAATTGCTTTTAAAAACAACATGAACACCTAACCTTTGAAGCATCCAATAGCAAGGAAGGGAATGGAATGTATTTGCTGAGCCTCCAAGAGGTTCAAATCAACTCTCATTAAGAGCTGGGAATTTTCTTTCCTAGACCCTACCATCACCTCTTCTGGTAAACAGACATCTATCTGATGTACTCTTCCAGGGTATTAGCAGTGGGCATGAAAACATCAAAAATGTAGCTAACGATGACAAAGCAGGTCAAAAGATGACAGGAAGTGGAAGTATATAAACATACACGATATATTAGAAACCAGAAACAGAATTTAGAAACAATAAAAGAAATGGAAAATACAGAGGAAGACATTTAGGAAGACAACGTGTAAAAAACATTGATGGGCAAAAGAAAGGCAATACAGGGAACAGACTGAAAATACTACTACTATAAAAACAAAGGGGAAAACTAGTGAGAAGATGAGAGGCTCACACAAGGGATGAATGAAGAACATGTGTGACATATTGACACGCTTAGAAATATTGACAAATATGCTTACAAGAGATCTGGTGGACAACAAACCATTTTGATTTATACATCAAGTCAGAAGAATTTACTAAGACTCACCAAGTCAATGGGCACTCGGTGCTTATTTCTGTCTTACTGCCTTGTGAATCCCAGTAGCAACTTTAAAGTGTTTTGTTTTCTTCCTTTGTGACACGGACTTAAAGCTAGCAAATTCTCTTTGGGTGTTCTATCGCTAAACATACACACTGTATTTTTGAAACAATGTTCTTTAGTTTCTGTCAACTGCTTTTACTGGAACCACATACCTGAAAATAAATCTACTTGCAAGCATAAATATATGAGAGGTTTTTCTAAAGACTCATACACAATGATTAACAATTCAAAATTAAAACAGATTTTGCAGAAATCCATAGTGTGAACTACAACAGATTAAAGTCACCAAATCTGCAAAAACTCATGTTAAATTGCCAAACATGTTGAGCCTGAAAAATAACCAATCAACTAGTACATTTACCTTTTGCAAGGGAATGAACTGGGTCAAAACTATGGTATTCAGCACAATCTGATCTGAAGTAGCATCACATGACTACTTCCTACTTTGGAGAGTAAGTAAATCTACTTTTATCCTCTAAGGCAAGCACACAAAATACATACATTTATTTCAATTTTAAAAACAGTACTACATCTGTGGAAACAAAGTTAGGACCTACAAACACAAGAAAGTCAAAGCATAAGACAAGCTCTGCTTCACCTTCTACTTACGCTTGCTCCTCATTTCAGTATGCAAACAACATGGATGTATATTGTCAGTAACTTCTCTCGGAATTTTTTTTTCACCGTTTACGCATCCTAGATTTTTTTCACTTTATGTAATATTCTATTTGTTTTCTTACCACTAAAATACAAAACACAGTATGGTATCTCTGGGGACAGCGAGAATCCAAACAACATAAGAGAGATGCCACTGTACTTTGCACCACTCTGAACCAAAATATGCACAACAAAAAGTGATAGGTTGGGAACGTACCCACCTCCACAGGACAGCAAACCACATAGGACAACAGGAACCCTATGCACGAGGCAAATACAACAGGAGAAGAACATGGTGTGGTGACAGCATTGGAGCAATCTAAGGAGTCCTATGTCATGCATCTGTAGCTCTTCAGCTGCCTCCATTGCATCAGCACGATACTACTAAGTTTGTCTTGACTAAATCACCTACGTACAAACTGTTGTGCTAGGTAAGAATTCTCAGACTACTGTGCAGACAAATGTCATCCCAGATCTCTCATAGGTATAGCCCTGTTTCAATGAGCTTAACAGGAGCTTCACGGTGCCTTTCTGTTTTTCTGTGCTTTCCTCAATAAGAGGCTTCCGTTCATGTGCACCTGACAAATGGAGACTGGAACAGTAACATCAGAGTAATTCTCATAGCTAACACAAGAAATCACGTAGAGACGATGGAGGTTTTTGCCACAGCTTTAATAACTAACTATGCTGTATTTTTTAACATTGGTCAGCATCAAAAGGTCATCCCTTATCTTTATCCATTTCTTTGACAACAGATGAGAAATTTCATCTGAGCTATATGCTCCAGAGTAACTGCACTTCATGCAGTAAATCTTCAGGCAGTCCTCAAATTCCAGTGTTAAATCTCACAGCGCTATTTTATCAGATTCTTGCCCCAAGAAACTAAAGGCATAACATTTCAGACATAGTTTAGTCACATATGTATTTTTATTACTGTTGATTTATAATAAACAGGGTTTAACCTAAAGTGCTTTTCCTGTTGTCTTCCTGGCAGCCATGTTCTTTATAGTTCAGGCTTTGTTTCTATAAAGAAAGGCAGCTCAACAAAACACAAGAACCCTTGCTTAGTATTATTTACCTCACCTCCGTGACTGCAAAAGCAATCCGTGAGGGAAAAGGGAAAAACCTGGGAGAAGAGTTCTAGGGTATTACAAATTTTATGAATTGTATGGAGGTCTACCTTGACTGCCCTTCCCAGTATTCACTACTGTCATACTACATGAAAGTACTTTTGTCCAGCTTGCATTTGTGAGTGTATGTCAGAGGAGAGTAAGGGCTTGAACAGGTATAAAACAGAAAACAAAACCATCAGTGATTAATGATATAATCCTAAACGAGATGTACTCCACTCCTTAAAGTATGCTCTGAATTCAATTTAGTGTGTATATTCAGGTTTCTGCTGCATATGCATAAACATGTACACAGACATATAGCATAATAAGCTAAAATGTAAAAATTACTTTGTTAGAAACAGAAAATGACATATAGTTGTTTGTAGCCACCATGTACTTACTATTTAGTTGAATCTGATAATTGATATTCCCGTCGTCTATCATAACACTCCTGAATTCCAGGGTCATTCCATAAGCTTCTTATTGCATCTACATATTGGTTCTCAAAAGCTGACACCTTCTCTACATCGACTTCTCGAACTAACTGTGCATGAGCCTAATTCAAAACAAACAAAGCAGTAAAATTTACTTAATTTCCTACGTTTGCAGACAGCTCATATACAGTGAACTTGAATAATACGAATAATTTTTCATATTGGCCATACCATCAACACATAGATGCAATTTGGAAAATCAAGTACCATGACAAAGGTTGTCAAGACGGAAAAAGGAGACAACCGTTAAAGGAAATTGCAGAAATGAGGTAGAATAGAAAAAAAAAAGAAAATCACTTTTTATGGAAAGTATATAGAAATCAACATGAACCAGCATATTACTTACCTTTCATGCTAAAAGACACTGTTAACCACAATACTTACTGCCCATTCTACCAACTGAACCACTCCTTAGCAACTGAAGCCAAGACACTAGGACAACACAAAGACAGAAATGACAGCAAAACCCCGAAGTATTCAAATATGGATATTTTACCAAAATCTATATTCATGTGAACAAACTTAGTGACGGTTTAGGAAGGAAACAGAAAGGTTGATTTACTGGGGAAGACCTTAAAATAAACAGTGAATGAACAAGAATAAAGAGTACCAAGTAAATTACGAATGACTGACGACATGGTGTGTTCAAACGAAGACAAATAGTGCTAAATACAACATTATGACCGAAAGTGAATTAATAAACATACATATGGGCCCTGATTTTAGACTATGCTTACACTAATCCAGTATTATTTAGAGGAAATGGATGAAACAGTCACATTAAAATTTGTATTTAATTAAGCTCATTTTAAAGCAAGTTTTTTTTTTTTTTCAGGTACAATCTTAAGAGTGTCTAAAACATACTGTTTAAATGATGACTGGTTAACCAACTTGACAGATTTAGACTCTGATGGTAGATGAGAGAATGGAAAGGAAGGAATTTGACTTTCAGAGAGATTGGTTAAAAAAAACACACACACACAACACCCCCTCTAGTAAACACAAGCCAATATTCTTGTGAAACAGGATAATTATTTTTTTAAATTATCTTGTATCTTATCAGGCTCAGTTTTGTAGTTTTGCACTGCTTGTGACAAACTGATAAAATACTATATTCAGACACTGGGGTTTTTGGTTTTTTTAACACTTGAGCTCTGAAATCATGGCCAACTGATACCAAAATGCTAACAGAGCTAAAATACTAACTTACTGTTCAAAAGCTTTCATTTGAAATCCATCATAAGTATTTCTCGAACAGTTCCCTAAACATTCTCTAAATGGTTCTCAAGTATCGTACACTTGTACAAGAGAAAAATCTTAAAAGGTAATTATTTACTTTATTAAGTTAGTTATCTAGACTTATTACTAGCTGTCCAAGATCCTGCATTGTGTTATTTATCAGTTCTGTATGTTGTGCCATACAATTAATATGACTTTGCAATATATGACAAAACTTACAAAATAAACTATGATATATGCCAGGAAATTGCATTCATTGAAAAATTGACTCAGCTTCTTAAAAAGAAACAGCATTTCCTCAGTGAACACTACTTCTGCTTCCCTGGGGTTTGCTTGGGCAGGCTCATGACAGCTTGCACCCTGACACAGCTCTTCACATCAGTGCTGCTTCTCTTAAAAAAGTAATGCCCCTTCACATAGTTTCAAATCTTTATTAATCCTTAGCTATGCCTTCTTGCTCCCAGAGGCACTATGCTTTCCTGTAGTCAATTTTTCTTTATTTCAGAGTCTTTGTCAGACAACAGCTTTTGCTGGCTTCTAATTTCTGCTGGTGGAGACAGTGGTGCAAATACAGGATCTCATCTATTAGCTGAATTTTTGTCTCATTTGCCCTGATACACATCAAAAGTAATTCTAATAAAACCTTGTGAGATGGAGAAGTATAAAGTTAATGTAGAATAAGAATAAATCATTCATGATGTGTGGTGTCACTACTGCTAATTACTGCTTTAGTTTCCTTCCACTAACATAAATAGAAAATTTGGAACTCAACTTTTTATGTTAGTACTCAAACATGAAAATAATCTCAGGACTCATTATTAATCCAGTTTATGCAACTATAAATGTTAATTGAGTACTTCTTAGTCTTTACTAATCCTTTCCGTTTACCTAAAAATGAACATTATCTGGGGGGACAAAAAGAAAAAAATCAAGCTTGTGGCCCCTGAGAAAACTGCACCATCTTAAGAGTGCTCTCTTTTGGGACATCAATAATAGTTAGCAAAGCAGTAAAACAAACAAACAAAAAAACAACAAAAAAAAACCCAGCAAAAAACCAAAACCCCAACACAACGCAAAACGACAGACAAAAGGGAAGGATTCTGTAAGTACCACCAAATTCAAACTGGTCATTAAGATGTAACTCCTAGTTCAGCTGTAATGTTCCGTAAATAAAATCTAAATGGTGTAAATGACTTTTCAGTCCAATACACTTTTGACATCAGCAGTCAACATTTTTTGTGGCCTTCTGGGAATATAAGAATATTTGTAACATTTTCACATTATTTGCCAGAAACCTTACAAACACTCATTAAATTCTTTTTAGCAAATCACATCTCTCCTAAATTTAAGACCATCTTCAGTGATTTCGCTAAGTATTTAAAAAATTAACCCAGAATAACAAAACTGAATTTTTTGGGACTAGTACTGGACTCTCAAACCAGGAAATCTGAGCCTCAGGAGACACCAAAATAGCTATCACTTCTCTTTCTTCATTCCCCTCAGAAAACTATTAACCGTGTTAAAAACTATTTCTGAGCTTGAATAGCGTTATAGTTTTATGCTGATCTTTCTGGCAATACTCTTTTGGCCACAAACCATTAAAGTAAGCATATTTTTTTAATCTCTAGGCTTCATCATGTCAGTTTTCTCCTTATTATCTCTGTAATTTTTGGAAAGCTCTGATGCTTCTTAGGGACTAATTGGGCCAGCCAATAGATCTGGTTTCATATTCTCTCTGTATATGCATCAACCATTTGGAGCCTAACAACAGTGGCTACAATCAATGTACAGTGGCTACAATCCACAGCAAGCACGGAAAAAGGTTCATCTTTTTATATGCCTTTTGATATAGTCTCTATGATTTTCCCAAATTAGCACTCCAACCTACCAGAATAGTTTACGTGACGGAGATAAGGCAGAAATGCACAGTCTATTTCCAAAGAAATTCCTCTGGGGTCTTAAAATTCACAAGAGAAAGCAATACGCTTGAGATGCAGCAGGCAGGGTTGCTTTCTAAATGGTCTCTGTGGACCAGCTGATTTTAAGGTGTCCATTTAAAGAATTCTCTTACAGGGGAGTGAGCATCTTCTGTTTTGTAAGAAGATTTCCCAAACCAATCAGAAAAAGCCTGTGGCTGTATGGCTTGGCTGTCGGTAAGTAAAGGATCAAGCACAGTGATATTAGTTAGGTCTGGATAGTTGCATTTACATTGATTGCAAAATTGAGAGCAATGGCATGTGATCAGGTCTGAGCAGTCCAGGAGCTGAATGGAAGTCATTACAAAGACTTCATCACAACCATGGATTAGTCGCGGGGGTAGGGGGTAGGGGTGGGGGTGTGCATGTAAATGTTCTTGATAAACCAGCTTAAAAGCAGAAATATTTTTTAATGCCATCTCAACAACATCAGTCATTTACAGATTCAGACCCCGGTGACTTGTCATCTACACGTGTGGTTCATACAAATACCTTGCCTTATAGGGCTGTATAGCAAGATAGGCTGCTTTGCAGACTCCTGCAAACCTGCAGATTATTTGAAGCAGCTATAACATCCAAGGAAAGTAATACTAGCCTATTTCACTGTCTTGAAAACTAGACAGCTGAGGGATGTGTTCTTTAACATGTCAGAAAGCACCAACTTCTGAGTGATAATCAGTCCAAGGTATGGAAGTGTTTTTACATAGCAGCCCACAAAATATGGTTCGTAAGAGGACTATAAAGAGGATGGCGCTTCACTTGAGCAACTTTAGAGCATAGAATGGACCAGGGTACACTGGCAGGTTTTATGGTGTGCTATACCGAAGAACTGTATTTAAATTAATAAAGTGTGCTATGATTTGCTGAAACAAGGCTTGGTGAAATGCTAATCAACCTTCAGTTGTTGACAAAGGTTAATAAGGTATCAAACTACCTAAATCAGAATTTGTCACCCTTTCCTGTTTCATATTCTAACCTTCAGAAAGAAAAAAATAGCATAAGCTCTTTGAAAAAGAGTTCCACAGACACGTAACAGAATCTTAAAAAATAAGTTTGCATGAAGAACATTTTTGTTGTTATTGGTTATTGTCTTTTTACAAAAAGCCCAGGATAACAGATGTTTAGGTTGCCTGGCTATCACTATTAGGCTGTTGCCTAACAAATAAAAGCAACATAAATATATAAACATTAACATTACTTTTACTATTAGACTATCTAATTCCATGTAATGGCCTGAATTACGACTGTTATCACTATTCACCTCTTCCCTCTCAAAACCCCATACAATGTTCACTCTGCCCAAACACACCATATATAAAAATCGTGGATTGCCATGTGCCTTTACAACCTATACTGGTCACATGAGAATACGCAATGAAGCCACGTGACTTTCACATCCTGGTATGGCCAGGGTGAGGAAGGAACGGATTTAAGACTTAAGGAAAAGTATTTCTTCAATTTACTTCTGCAGTAATAGGAAAATGATGGGATTCCACACAGTACTTGACAATACTCAATCCTACACAATCTACTTCAAGAGGGAAACATAATTGATGAAAAAGTTCTTGTAATTCAGCACTTTTATTAAGAAAAAGGTTCACACTTTCAAGTCTGCTCTCTGGCACTGTAGGACCACGTTAATGGTGGTTAGAATTTGCACAAGAATTGCTGTCTGTCAGTAAGTTGATGTTACACTACTACAAAGTACTTGCTTTCCTTAGCTTTTTTGGTACATTTAAATTAAGCTAGGTTTTACTAATTTACTCAAAGTAATATTTTACTGAATTATTACAGTGGTTAACTATGGGAACAACAGCAGTTAGCTGAATAAACTCAGGACAAAATCC